TATGATTAATTACGTAGCACTTTTGGTAACGCTAATCCATCTCACACGTTACGATGCGATGCTTTATTCGCCAAAGATGGTATCTTAATTAAGAAAGAAAATCCAATAAATTGGATTAGCATTCAATTGTGAAGGGATTGATGCTGTGTCGTGCATTGTACGAATTTCAATAAATTCGCAAATTTTAGCCATTATTTTCCTCAATACATATTAGTAGCACGCATAGATCGGTCAATCTCTAAACATAGTGATTACTATTTGCGCATAGTACGCATGCTCTTTACATAATAATATACTGCAAACAATAATTGCATAATGTGTATATGTTAGCAAATGATAGATTAAACATACTGTACTTACAATAAGTATAGATTCGGAAAACGCAAAATACTGCCTATGAAATGTGTTTCGCCAATTATAAAATACTCCGAAGCATGTGTTTATATCACCAAATAAACATCTTTGTCGACCGACTCAATATGTCTGCTACTTTAAATGATTCTGCGATATTAAGAAAATACTGTAACTCGGCAATTTGAGATTGACGCCTTTCTTGGGTTGATAATATCAATTCGTACTGGTGTTTCCGCGTTGGAACCTGACACAGAATTGCACAGGACTCTTGTGGTATTTTTACAATTGGATAATGCACCAAAAGTTAAGTATGATCAGGATCCAAGACTTTTAATGTTTCCTTCGCCTTAAGTTGCACCAACTTAAAGATTCGTGTTTAGATTTTCGATATTCTGATTAACCGTTATACATCATGTATGTTAGAACCAATTACTTCGAGAGCAAATTGACATAATAAACAATATTATGTGATCATAAATTTGCATTCCAGAGAGTATTATTCACAATTTACCAATGAGCGACAAATTAGCCTTCTTATAATAGCTTCATTTGAAATACTGTAAATTAGGAATCCATTATAAAATATCATTAAATGGTGAGTGAAAACACAAATTGTTGCAATAATATTATATTAGTATGCAGTCATACAATAAATATATGGTAAATTCTTTAAACGCGTTCGAGAAAAATTAGAAGCAGGCGCGGCAATAAACTCGGAACCATTTAAAGCAAGCAAATTAACATCACGTCAATGAGGGTGCTCGTTCTTCTTTTTTTCATCAAGCTTGCGTAATACTTTTGTTTGATTTAATATGCATTTTGTTTATCGCGGAATGCTCCGACTGGTTACACTACAGTAAATAGGTATCCCACCGTTGTTGTTTTTATCCGATTGCATAAGAATAGTCGTAACGTGCGAAGAAAAGCGCAAGGATTAACAGTATCGACGCAGTTATCAATTTGTCAAATTGGTTCTAATTTAATTAAAAAATAAAAATCCAATTATTCGTATTTCTAAAGTATTCTTGTACGTTATGTATAAAACTTGCAGTATCGTGCACCAATAATTAGATCATGACATTATACTACGGAATACTTATAAAAAGGTCACAATATTCCAAGCTTCAGTTGTATTCGAATAATCTCTCGTAAAAAATATATGTATCTTTACACTCTTCGCCTAACTATACTCCAAGCTTCTCTTTTATTCGAATAATCTCTCGTAAATAATATACTGTATGTACTTTTTACATTTCTCGCCTAATTACAAAATAACTAAACTTTAAGTAATCAAATTATAACATGAATAATAATCAACGACAAAATAATCCACTCTTACGAAGACGAAACCATCGACCACCGTTTGTACCCCTTCCTCAGGGTCATCCGCAAAATCCAGTAGCCGTCCCACTCTTCCCTCTACAAGGGTTTCCTTTTCTACCCGATGCTGCTCGATTATCGGAGAATCCGGGCGCGCCGACCTTTGCGGAAATGTTATTTAACGGGGACGAGAATTTCGGTTAAATCAATTAAAACTATCCTTATCTTCGGAAATTCTTCATCATTCTGGACGCGAGAAGGACGATTTCGAAAATTTTAATGATGATCGACGTTTTTTAAAGTTACTGTATACGTAATTTTATATTCTAAGTTGGATTAAATACGTAGGAAATTTTTTAGATAAAAGAAAAGGGATTGCTTTAATTAGATAAAAAATATGTTAATATGCAAGGACAAAAACGAATAAATTTCATGTACTGTATTTTGCAACATCACAATTACCAAATTTCCTGATTTCACGCCAAAGGTTGACCCTTATTCATAATTTATTGGTTTTATTGATTAAGTTAATTAAAAAGGAAGCAGGGTCGAGAGTGGCCTGATTTTTTCAAAAGGAAGGGACCATTACGTATACTGTATTACTTATCTTCCGTATAAATATTCATTTACAGATTACACTTTACGGAACTTTTTAACCAAGTTCTAAATTAGTCGATGTGATAAATTGACCTCCATTTATTATTTACCAATAAGATAATTTTAGTCATATAAGGAACTTTTATAAAAGGGTCCTAGGTTACGCACATAAAAACGAGAACAACTCACGCATACAAAAAAATTCCCAAGAGACGACAATCTTAGCTTGTTAAACACGGTTATTTTTGCATTTATGCATATTGTGACCGAAACAATTCCCAAATTGAATCCCTCAATGATGCAGTATGCATGTCACGTTTACATAATGCAACACTATCAATAATATTAATATAATAAACACAAGGTTATCCTTGTATTTAATACAGTCAGCTTCGAAAATAATCGAAACATAAAGATTATAACTCCCATGTCCTTGTACGTATACCATTAATATTATATATATATAATTTACGTAATCTAGCCGATTAAAACGATTCGGTTACTTGGTTACGGAAAGGATACGATCATTCCATCCGAACCATACATTTACTTAGTATAAGCCTACCCATGTAAAATCATGCATGCAATACGTAAACCGCGTGGACTATGTGTTTAATAGAACTGTCGATAAGGGAAACATCATATACGACTGTACTATAGAATTAGTGTACATTTAATAGTGACATTTTGTTTAAGGTCATAATAAGCAAGTTTTTTTAGTGATACTGTTCGACAATATTACAAAATGTTTTTACCGTGCGTCCAAATTTCTGGGAACGTGCATTAACAGGAGTCGGCTGGAGACTTTTTTTTACTAAAAGCGAACTTATTTAATGATCAAATATTACGCTAACTAATCAGAAAACTAGAACAAAATCAGGAATAAACCTTTTTAAAGATTTCGTATGTCAATACTTACAGTATATTGATCTTATTGTATACATATACTGACTTACTCAGGGAAAAACCTTAAATAAAATTGTCAATTTTGTTTACATACAGTAAAACACTATTAAACCTATTTTGTGTGTTTAATGCTCGGAGGCAATGTCAGAATAATAAAAATCCGTGTAAGACATATTGTATTGTTGTGTTACCTCTTATTTGTTGTAAATCGACTAATTTCCCTGCATTATTGTGCTGTCGTCCTTATATACAGTGCATAGACGGTCAATTGCATCTCTATTAGTCACATGTTTCTGTGCATATATTGTATTATGATTGTGCTTTATGATTTAACCGCACTTGCCTGATGTTGACTTGATCTCCCGGCAATTTTTTTTATCCACGCACGCATAGAAACTACATATTGTCGAGTCAGTCGTTAATCTATGCAGCTCGCTTGACCGCACGTATTAATCACACGATAAATCACATAAAAACATTAAAATGTATGAGGCAAAAAATAATATATTTGAACGAGTTCACTTACTCGTTTCGAGACACCCACAGTCTTTGTTCAAATGCGTTAAATACGTTCACTTAAATACTACATACATGCGCCATATTTACACATCTTTTTAGGAAGCCACTAATTTCTAACTTTGCGTATTTTGCGAACAATGTGTGGCTTGGTCGTAATCAATGACCTAATATTCTTGCGCCGCTAATATATGCTGCGTCGCATTTTCCCTCACACATGCATACGTACATGTAGCTTGATTTCCACAGGTTTTTTTTTTTTTTTTATCAAACTTGTGTGGTCTAAATAAAGAAAGAAAACAATAAGTACCTACAATATCTGCCGAGTTGATTACACTTTCGGTTGTTAAAAGATCCAATGGAAGCGAAATAATAGGCTTATTTTGTTGCATTCGCACTGGAAATCGGATGCGGACTCAAAAATAAAAATCCATTTTCCTGCAAGGATACAAGTTATAGTCATGATAAGTTCTATGCGAATTAATGTTGGGCATCGTTCATACTTACGATAAGGAAACCTGCATTTTTTTCTAACCTAATTTAAAACCAAGCCAAATAAAATAATCAACAATGCTGCATATACAGTATGATTCATAAATTCTGACAAATTTTTTTTTAATTTTTTATTTTATTTTACCATTTAATAAAAAATTATTGAAATCATAAAATTATTATCTAAAATTATTTAAAATTTAATAATAAAATATAAAAAATAAATTTTTAAAAAATTTTAGATAATGCATAAATACAAACAAAAAAAATTTTTTTAAGTATTATATATATTTAAAAAGCTTATACATAAAAAGGAAACACACACACACACATATATATAAACAAAAAAAATTATATATATATATTTTAAAATTAATTTTATAATGAAAAGATTATAATATATTATATTATAAGAAAAGTTCAATTAAATTTCTTAAATTAAATACGCTATTTATAAAATTTTACATAAAAAATGAATTTTAAAATATTTGCGTTTTTTTAGCCAAAAATTAAAACATTCCATTATACAGTACTAGTGCATTAGAACATATGTAAAAATTTCAAAATTCTTTAAATGAAGTCCTTTAATTTTATTTTATAAAAAAATGTAATAAAAAATGTTCTTAAGCAATTTTAATTTAAACTTTGGATTTTTAAAAATAATTTCATTAAACAATTTTTGATAAAAATAAATTATCGAAACTTATGAATCACGCAATATAATGTATGTAAGTTTCTATAAAAATTTATATAAAGTATAACCATGATATTGGGATTGGTGTAATTTAAAATATTAACTCCGATGCAAATTAAAAATGAAACATGATGCATTACTAGTGATCACCATTTCTTGTAGTATAAATACATCACGTGCGTTGTGGGAAGTGTTTAATAACGTTGCGGGGTACACAGCTTTGTCCACTGTTATTGGCGTAATGGAGAGTACACAGTCGTACCAACATTATTAGCCCCTTGCAGGAGGTATACATCACGTTCGCGAACGAAAGTCGGCAGCAGAAGAAGAGCACCATGATAGGTACGGACATTAAAGCGAGATCGGCAAATGTGCGGGAGGGAGAGTGTGTTGGATTCAAAGCAAAGTTTCCGGCAAAAAACGTGGCGCAGAAAAAAATTACCTTCGATAACATTTGCCACTTTATTATAACTTCGTAGTTAACCATTCTAATCATAAACAGGCTACATTATTGATCAACCCAAAAATCCTAGCGATAAAGCAATGGCACTTCATCTCGGTCGGTTAAGTTCACTTGCACATATTTTTTTTTTTATGGAGAACTATAATGGCAACAATCTATTTATTTATTAAATAATTACATTATACAGACAATTTGATCTACTTTGAACAATAAATAAAAAAAAACAAGTAAATTAAAAAAAAAAAAAAAGAATACATATTTTCTTATTTTAAAGATAAATTTGCAACCATTCGATAAGCTAAAGTTTATCAACAGTAAGTTCTATATGAACAATATTAAATATCAAGACATCATGATTGGATAAATCAATATTTACAGCAAGCATTATAGTTTTCAAGAACAACAACATTTTATTAAATTATACGACGAACAAATCAATTTCTTTTCTTCCTTTGTGAGGAAAGCATGTAATTAGGAAACTTTTCTCCGAAAAATGCAGGTAATTATATAGTTCGCGCGTATATGATTTTATTATATTCCAATACGCAGTGGGAAAAAATTATCATAATATAAAATTTTTTTGATATTTTCTTTGTCACTCGTATAAAAATTTTTTAACGCTGATTGGACGTGCCATATAAATTGTCATACTAACGCGGTCTCCGCGATTTATAGAAGTGATTTGTAAGTAATACTTACATTGCTGAAACACGGGAGATGTTATTATAAGTGAACCCATGCTATCAATGGTATTTTGGCTTCACCATATACTGTATAAAGAATTTCGTGGTCGTTAATGTTTACGTATTATGATGAGATAGAATGTTGACACCGTATTTCACCAAAAAAAAAATAATAATAATTTCCTTGCTATTTTCTTTTAGAAATAAATGCAATATCTGATAAAGATGAATCACGAATAAAATTCGAGTGTTGCGCGACACAAATAATATGAAGATAAATTTTCGTCTATTCTCGTATTCTAAAATGGAGAACCAACAGCAAAATTCTACTGTAATCACCGCAACACTACAATCAGCCGTTCTTCCTCATGACCCAAGGACCGGCGTTTATATTAAACGCTGCACAAACATTAGGGGGTCAAAATCTTGAGAAAATGCTATTAATAGAAGACAGTGGGTGGAATTACGTAACTCACTCATTTACAGAGAACTTCCTATTATATACTTTCTGGTAATTGTTTGTTTACCTTTTCTACGACAAATTGTCTGTTTCGACTTCTCTTTATTCCAAGTCCGTGCGGTAATTTGCAGGTCATTTATTTATAAAATGTTACGCCTATTACATAATACGTACAGTATATGAAATCAGTACTACGTACTGATTTCAGTAGAACAAAAAAAAAAGCTTCAAAGCGATCATTAGAAAATTAATTCTTAACAACGAATCTACTGTAATACTCTTCCATATGTAATTTACACAGGTTTTAAATAAGTAAAATTTCCACGGAAAATAATGCCCGGTATTTCTATTAAAATGACAAGAGAACTACTCTCTGTGGTGACTATTATATTCATAGAAAGCGCTCTGTAACACATCAATTATTAATTTCAACCAACTCATTATGATTTCGCTCATAAAATATTACGTGTATGAATTCTGCGCTTTATGTAACATTTTATTGCCATAAAATTTATTCGAAAACGACCTATCAAGCTACGTACTTTTAAGCGAAGTACTTTTAAGAATTGCTTTAAAATCAGGATAGATATATCCTTACAATAAAAGTTCAAAATCTCCATGGTATTAACGGACGATGACATTTAAAATTCTATTGTGGAAATAAAATTGTGATTAACAAAAAGGATTCTGTCGTAATAATAATACATAATAGTAAGAAAATTTATTTCATGCATCCTTCGCACCAGATAATTTTCAACAAATACTTTTAATCTAATGGTAAAACAGTAAATGCGTGCATTCTAGAAAGTTCTTGTAATACCTAACCGAATTGATTTTCTTGACTGTGCTTTGTTTATTATTTCCATTGTTAAATATCTTTGTTCACACGTACTTTCATTGTTGGATTTTCAAGTGCGTTGTGCATCTCATGCGCGCCATTATTTGTTGTTAATTGCGTTATAGAAGTATGCGATTAAAATTTATTTGAATTATTCTTACCTATACGTACCCACTAGTGTATTTCTTTGAACACGCAACGAATAGATAAAGTACTATTAAGTTCAGTGTAGCAAAGGCAAAAGTTTGAGTAAGCTTCTTATTTTTAAATTCATAGAATTCCGCAGCGCAGTTATATGGAATAAAATATTTTTATAATAAAAATTAAATAAACTAAGGAACGAAATGAATTTAAACCACTCGGGGTTAGAAATTTATTTCATATAATGTTCATATAAATTTCAAAAGTTAACGTCGTAAAAATATATCAAATTGAATGTTTTTGAAAGATATTTTGCTGGCGTAAATATAGTCATTACACACAATTGTTTGGGTATACTGTACTGTAAATAATAAATCTGATCTTAAAAATATATGTTGATCAAAAAAAAATGTTACCACACTTTTCATCTATCTAAAGATCCAAATATAGATTTTTTTTTTTTTTTTTTTTTTTTTTTTTTTTTTTTTTTTTTTTAACGTATTCCATAATGTATTTATTTGTACGTAAATCCTAGGAGCGTATCGGATGAAAATAATTTATCGCATGTGTATAATTAAAATTTTTGAATTGGTTGACAAGTGCATTAAAGAGGATAAAACAATTCACGGAGTTCATATCCGAATAGTCTCTTATTAGTTGGTCCTTTTATTATCGAAATTACAGTACATTCAATCCCGCAAAAATAGCCCAATGACAAATGATTATTATGCTGTTTTAAATAAACATTTACCGGCACAAATAGAGACACGGTAAATTTTAATCAAACTTTCTTATTTTGCCTAAAGTAATTTACAATAAAATAAAATAAAATAAAATAGAAACAAAGTTCCTATTAATTATGTCATAAGAATTTGTCAAGTGCCTGCCTATGGTTTCAAAATTGTAAAATTACACGTAATTCTTCTCAAACTGTAACAAAACAGTCGAAAATTGAATAATCTTTTTTATTATTTAATTGGTTTATGTGATTCTAAGAGTTCGATATAGTATAAAATGATTCACTTCATTTTACGGAGTAATCATCCTAGCTTGAACATTCAATTTCGTATAATGAATGACAAACATCACCCATAACAACTTTTTAGCCAGATGCAACCGATTTAACCCGATCTGAGGTCGCGAATTTCTACCCGATACTACAAGAAAACCAGAAGCACCAAATTTTTTGATAAGTTTATTTTTCTGGTGGGAATGTGTGGAATTATAATTTCCTAATATATGATAACCTTTGTTATTCACCTTACACATTTACAAGAAAAACGTTTTTGTTAAAATCATTATTGTAATCATAATATATAGATTATTGACAATATTTATATTATAAATGTTCACTTGGTTATTTCGCGAGCTCCCGGTTCATATTTAAAAGCATCTCGTTTATTTTTACTGCATTAACTATACTTGACATAATATACTTCAATTATTTAAACAAAAAAGAACTATATTTTTTTTCAAATTTAATTTATTATTGAGTGTTACTACTTTTTTTATATAAAATTTATCAAAAAGTTTATATTTCGTTATTAGTGAAGTATCAAGCATGATGTGAATTAAATTGATTTCAGAAAATCGTCGATGTCATTGAAAGATATCAGTCAACAAGAGTTCCACCATTACTTTTTAAAGTTAAGTACTTATATTATTGTGAGCCAAAAGAAGTATTAAAGAATTTAATCTTTTGAATAATAAAAGACATACCTGTAAAAATTCTTTAACTAGATATAGTTGATAAAATATATTACACAATATAATTTATTAATTTATGATGCATTATAAGTAATCTGGCTACTACAGGTATATACGCAATTATTATCAATACTAGCTAAAATCATTTATAATTCTTGAATTAAAAACTCCTGACAAGCAATAAATTGACTCAAATAATAAACGAGAAAAAAGTTAAAATTAGAAAAAATAAGTTTTTTAAAATAGTCAAGAGAAGAAAAAATATTTCAATAAGGATAGATTTTAATCCAATAAAAAGATATTTTATAAAGTACTATATCTTTTATTATGTATTAAAATTTTTTATATTTGTAATTTTTTTAAATATATATATATATATTTATTTATTTATGTTATTCTTTTCAACTTTTTCTCTTTCTCTCTTTCTCTCTCTTTTTTTTTTTTAATATAGTTTTTTATTTTCATTAATATTATAACTGATAATAATATATATTATTAAATATTTAATCAAAGTACTTATAAATTATTATATTTGTTATATATATATATATATATATATATTTTAACCCGCAATTATGCTGCAATGGCATGTCTTTATTGAGATTTTGAGAAATACCTAAATATTTTACAAACTTTCACAAAGCAACTAACTCATTTTTGTACATTGTTAGTTAAAGGATTACACTACTTAAAAAATATGAGGAGTTCACTAAGCTAGTTCAGACTAAACAAAACTAAGTCTAATCTAGGTACTCTAAGTCAGATTTAGAGGACAATATTTCACTCTCCTAGTAGCTTGGCAATAGTACCTCTAAATCAATTAGGGTCATCATCAACAATTTGTTACTGTAGATTATCCTAAAAAACAATGAATTGCTAAAGTTGGTATTGGGAAAAAAGGGGAATGCAAATCAAAGCCCTCCAAAAGGTTCTTGCTCTATTTTACAGTTTCCTCTCAAAAGAGATTTGCCTAATTGAAATATTCTCTGAGCTTCATGACATTTGAGGAACTTAACCATTCCTGAAAGTGACTTCAAGAAGAATGTTTGAGGAACTTATCCTTCTTTCAATATATGAATTCACTTATTGTTAGTGAGGTTAGTGCCATATTACAGAAGAGTTTATCTGATCAGGATAAAGAAATCTTTTCAAGAACTTTGCCTGACTGGGATAGAAGCTTGGAGACCTCAG